AAAGAAAACAGAGTACTCCCCTGGGTAATAATTGTTTTTATCCCCTTAGAGAGGGATATGGTGGGTTCTCCAGAAGCCATGGTTGTTGAAGTTCCTTCCTGACATCTGTGGGTAGAAATTGCACATTAGCTCGTTCCATGAGCCTGGTAATGAGAACCGGAAAGAACCAAGAGTTCCTTCGGGGGTTGGAAGCGCAGATGCCCATCTGCTCTCTGATTACTTCAACTGCATCGACCGGTGTGTTGGTAACTATTGCATAGAGCAATATTGGTGCTTCATAAGTTACCTTTTTCTGATGTCGATCAGGTATAAGGTTGGTGCAGATGAAGTTGAACCAGGGCTTATATTCTGGTCTTAAATCTGAAGCTGGAAAGTGTCACAGGCTGCCATTCCTGAATGTCCATATGACATCAAGTTCCTGGCTCAGCATCCCTAATAGCTCCTCTTCATGGTCGAATTCCATTATTTGGTGTAGTGCTTCTTCATGGGGGAAACCTATCTCTAGCAATTGCAGCAACTCTCTGGTTGTTGCCATACTGATGTTGACTGCTCCGCCTCTTACCACCACAGTATCGCCATGTGCTTCTCTCATATTGCGGTAAAATTCCCTAACCACACTAAGGTTTGGCCTTAGAGGGACATCACAGAGTCTCTCCCAGTGATGTTCGACAATGTAAGATGGCAGATCTGTTGAGAAGGTTGCCGCCCTTTTGATGATCATCCGCCATTCACATCCTTTCTCCTCCCTTGCCATATTTCCAAGATCACTCTCCTGTATAAGTCCAGTGGGCTCTCCTTTGACTTTTTGTTCGTCGGGCTGCCACGGCAGTTGGTGTTCGTCTATTGGTTCTGGAGTTCTGTACACCCTTTTGCTCCGCAGAGTACTTGCTTCTGGCCATGTGTAGTGTCATATTTTGAGGATTGAAGTTTATTTTTGGACATAGGGATTTGCCGGTGGTAACTGATGGAAGAATTTAGAAGATGGAAGGAGGCTGTAGAAATTTATGGGGGCTTGGGGTGTCAGTTTTCGAGTTGGAATGTTCCAGTTTCCCATGCACCACTCTAGACAATTCTACCCTCCAATTTCGCCAGTTATTTTAAATTAATCTTCCCTCTTTCCTGTTCCCTTTGACCAGAACACTTGGTGACTGTTTTAACTATAATTTTATTAGGATAAATCATCCCCATCGCGAAAATGAGTCTATCACTCGCCCAACTGAGACGACAGATCAATGTTCATTGTTCTGTGCAGATAATTAAACTTAAATGTTGTCATTCTAACTATATCATAGTCGGCAAGCCATTTCAGGTTAACCATCCACACAATCCCCATCTGAAAATTTTTTATAAGGGCTATTCCACCCTTTCTGATTGCCACTAAATAGATTGATTAATTAAAAAAATACTAATTCAATCAAAATTAAGAATAACAAAAGAACTTACCTTGGGTTGCCTCCCAAGCAGCGCATTGGTTTAAAGTCTCATGCCAGACTCAGTGGTGCTTCTATTTTCTGCTTCCTTGAGTTGCATCACATCCTTAAGCTGCATCTCTTGGTTCTGAACTGTGCGGTCTGCTTCTCTCCTTTTAGTATTCTCTAGTGTGTCACTAGGAAGTGATCCAGCAGATCTGTCTGGTATCTTCCTTGCTATTTGTGCCACCTGATTATGTATATCTTTTACAGTGGCATCAAGACTAGCAAGAACATTACCCACCTTGATCCAGTCCTCCTCCTTGACTCTGATTAGTTGATTCTGAAATCCTGGTGGTTGAGATGGTCTCTGATTATTGCTAATTAGTCCAGTTGCTATTCTGCTAAGGTCTCCAATTGTTGTAATTGTTGAATCCTTCTTTGTCATTTCCTTGCCTCACAAACTGAACTTCTTCCATAGTGGCTTGACACTGTGCAGAGCTCACATACATCAATCTTTGGTTTGTTGATGTCAGCTCATAGTTTTGATATCTCACTGGTGATGGCTACCATTTGTGCTTCAAGTGAGTTGTAGCATCTAGCTCCAACACTCCTGCCTTCTTAGCTGTAGCTCTAGACTCCTTCTGCCATCTGAAATGGTTAGCACACATATTCTCCAGCAGCTGCATTGCCTCCTCCACAGGTTTCATCATGAAGGCTCCGCCAGAAGATGAATCAAGTGATTCTCTGGAAGCCTGGTGCAATCCATTGTAGAAGATACACAGCTGCATCGGTTTGTCTATACCATGTTGAGGACATTTCCTCATCAGTTTCTTAAATTTTCCCAGGCCTCATATAGAGTCTCTGTCCCATGCTGCTGAAAAGTCATGATGGGTGATCTTAAAGCAACAGCCATGACAGGTGGGAAGAATTTTGTAAGGAATGCATCTCTGAGTCCATTCCAGGAGTTGATTGAATTGTTGGGCAGAATGTCCAACCATTTTGCGGCTAAGTCCTGCAATGTGAATGGAAATAGTCTCAAGTAAACCTCGTCCTTAGACAAACCTTGAATCTTAAAGGTGATGTACAGTCTTAGGAATTTCTTGATGTGCTCATTGGGATCTTCACTAGGCAGTCCATTGAAAGGACAAGCAGCTTGCACCATTGAATCATTGGATTGAGCTCAAAGTTCTCAACTACAACATCATTGTACACCAGTGGAGTTTGAACTTCCTCCTCTTGGGGAACAAAATAATCTCTTATCAGTATGGGTGGAGTTTATTGTAGCTCTCTTTCTTGAGGTTGATTAGCTGCTGCTACCTCTGCTATCTACTTCTGGTTTTTAAGAACACGAGCAGCAGCTTCTCAGTTTCGCAAGGCTTTGGATCTCCTTGCCGTGATTTCAATCTCTAGATCAAAACTTAGCTCTCTTAATGGATTGCTTCTAGTCATAAACCAGTAATCAAAACACGAAGAATAAAAATAGCAGGATTTGTGATTTGAGTGAGTGAATTTGATTAAAAACAGAAAACTAAAAAGAACAAAAACAGAACACAATAATCCGACTTTAAGGATTTTTAACGCCATCCCCAGCAACGGCACCACTTTTGGTGGATGTGTTTTCATTGATCCACTTCCCAAAAGAAAGATTTGTAAACCTATTTAAAACTATTAGCTAGTGGTAAGTAGGTTCGTTCCACAGAAACGGCAGTCAACCGCTCAAAATCTGATTAAAGTACAGAAAGGAAAGAAAATAAGTTGAACAGATTGTCACTTGGGAGAGTGAGAATAGTCACTTGACATAGTGAAGAGGTAAAAGGGTCAATCACCATCCTATCTTTAAGTTCCGTTTTTTATTCAAATATTCTTGTTGTGTATGATTAGTTGTTCGATCAGGGATTTATATTCTTTATAATTCCTTCCAAACAAAATAAAGAGTCCTAGACTATCTAAATTACCTACCTTCCAGTCAGAGTAATTCATTAATGTAAGCCATTGAGTTCTTAAGCCCTCTTTGATCGCCTATGCCATTCACCTAACTTTCGTTGATGTTTGACATGGTAGATTTCCTCCATTGTCATAGACTAGATTAACATTTCTAAGGTTATGCTCCCCCTTCCAGATCTTTATAACCATGTAAGCACATTTAATTAAGTGGCAAAGTTAATTAAAAGGTTAATTAAATCACTTATCTAGGCACAACACGTCATCAAGGAAACTGAATCAAAACCTTCACATAAAGATAGTAGGGATTGAACCCTTAACTGAGTTAGCTACTCATGTTTGTTGAGCTAAACATGAGAGCAACCAAGTACAAAAGAGAAGACATGAATCTAGATCAAAAGGTTAGAGGAACGAAAGGGAAGATGGTAGCAGGGACAGTTTCAGTCTGCTCACTATGGCGAGTGGCATTCGCCACTTGACAAAGTGACAGTCTACCTCCATTTTCCGGCTACTACCCTATTTCTAACCCACTAACTAACTACCTAACTACTGTCTCTGGGACTAAATCTAACTACCCAATTTGTTATCTTTCTAACTCCTATTGGCTGACTATTTATAGAGATTTGGAGAATCTTGGATTCGTTGGGTTCTGGCATTTTTCTTTACAGCAGAAAGGTGAGGCAGCAACTTGCAGCGGTAGAGGTTTGTTTATTCAGCAACTCGCCTAGTTGGCAAGTTGCAGTCTTCTCTTTGGCTGCTCATTCTCTTCAGCCGTAATCAGCCACCTTCCTCTCATCATTGCCTTCTTCTTTTAGTCTTCTTCTCCGGTGCAGTTTCACCAATTTCCAGCAACAAATCTCTATTTCTTCATTCTTTAATCCGCTGCAGCTCAACTAGCAGCAGTAGCAAGCAGCATCAGTAGCATGCTTCCTTTCATCATTGTGTTTCAGCGCCCCAATTCAGCCTAACTCTTTCTGCCTTTTCCTTCCTGGTTTCCTGTGATCACTTGCAACGCCATTTCTCACCTGAATACAGCAGCCAATCCATCAATTCAACAACAGCAGTCACAACAGGTAAGTAGCAGGTTGTAGTTGTTGTTTTCCACATATTCTCCCTCTTTCTCTTCTTCAACTTGCAGCAGCTATAACTTCCAATGATGGCGAAGCAATTCCTTCCTTTAGCAGTAAGAATTCAACCTTGGCTCTTCCTGATTGACCGCAGCAACAGCAGCTGCAGCACCAACTTGGCAGCAGAGTAGCTGTCATTTCTTCTTCCTCTATTGAGGTAGCTACTGCAGAGTCTTCCACTTGAATCCATCTGCTATCAATCTTCCTTCCACAGCAAGGACTTCTCCACTTGCCTCAGCCCTGATCGATCCACCAGCAGCTCAATTTCTAGCAGCTTCCATTCAAGTCCATTTTGATGCCCTTTTGTGCAATTTGACCATCTTTTATGCTAATTTTTCACAATAGCCCTCTGAGATACCTGAACTGCAAAAACATCCTAAAAGTAAACTAATTGACACTAAATTATAAATAGAAATGAGTAAGAAATGCCTGCTTAAAGAGTATATATTTTTATGTTATCAGTTACCGAATTCAATCCGGATTGGTAAGAAAGGAAAAAAGCAAGAGTATTTTTTTACATATGAGTATGTCCCGCCGTATTGCACGAATTGTAGTAAAATTGGACATAAAGGTTCTGATTGTAGGAAAGGTAAGACTCAGAAGCATATTTCTCAGGCCACGGACAAGTCACAAAACCAAAATCTTGAGAAGCCGCAACCTCAGATTGCTACTAAGGGGAAGGCGAAGCAGCATGAGGCAAAGAAAATTTAATTCGTGCTTCCTAAGCCCACCCCTAAATGGCAGCCACGCATTGCCTCTAAAAAACAAGATGCAGCAGGTTTAAAAGAATCTTCCACGTCTGGATTGTCTGCGCAAGAGAAAGCAAAAATCACTGTTGATGTTGAGGACAGCCGAGAGGTTGTTGTTAATGAGCCCAATGATCAAATTGCTGCTCTTTTGTCTAAGGACCCGCCCCAAGTTTCAGTCGAAACCACTTCGCCGGTAAATCGTATTGATCATCAAGATTTGCAGCACGTCTCAGGAGGAGAGGGAACTGAAAAGCCATTGAATCGGAATGCTGCTGAAGAACAAGAAATCAGTGCTGAACGGCCCGTATTGATTGCTGATGAAGAACATAGAAGTAAAGTAAAACAGTGAGCTGTCTGTCACCATCGATTCAGTAATTGGAAAGAGCAAAATTCAGGAAGATTCAGAGGATGAGGCGGAAGAAATCTTCTCTGAATTCGTGCCTCTTAATATTGAGTTGGAGCCTAGGAAATTTACGTTGCATAGTCGAGAGAAGTTGAGAATAAATGATGACGGTCAAATTGAACACTATCTCGCGGAGGTTGATGAAGAAGTTGATCCTCTTAGCCGCTGGTCTGAAGGTGAGATTGATGATGCTTTGAAGGACAAATCAGATGGCTTTACAGTTGTTAAGCACAAGAGGGGTCGTAAAACTAAGGCTGAAAGGCTAAAGCTACAAGAGGGTCTAATTCCTAGGCGCTCTCCTCGGTTCTTTTAATTTCTTTCCTCTCCAATATTTATAAAGATTAGTGTGCTAGTTTGTAATGTTAGAGGAATCAGAAAAGAGGCTTCTCAGAGGCGTTTAAAGGCTTTGATTAGAATGCATTCGTTTTGGTTTTAGTTTTGCGTGAGCCGATGTTGTCGAATGATAAAGTTGATGAAATAAGAACTATGTTTCAATTTGATTCGGTATTTGCTTCTTGTACCGAAAAGATATGGGCGTTTGGTAAGGCTGATGTTATACTGAATGAAGTTGGTGGGTCGGAACAAGTTTTGCATCTTGAAGTTTCGCATGCTTCCTCGGGTTGTAAATATCTTCCTCGGGTTGTAAATATTTTTTTTCTGCAATTTATGCTAAGTCTACAAGAGCTGAACGCCAAGCTTTATGGCAAGAGCTAAATGCTTTTAGGCAGAATCACTTGGCAGCTCCATGGATTTTGGGAGGTGATTTTAATGTGATTCGATCATGAGAGGAATATTCTGGAATTTTGGTTCAAGATTACCAAGCTATTCAAGATTTTAATTATTGAGTCCTGTGAATTGTCAGAAATTCATAACTCAGGGGAGGAATTTACTTGAGGTGTGTAAAAAGCTAGATCGGTTTCTTTTTTCGGAACAATGGTTGGATATATTTCCGGTTGCTTCCATTGCAAATTTAAATAAAACTACATCTGATCATTGTCCGCTTCTGCTCCAGTACAAACACTCTGAAGAGACTCGGCCTAAAATCTTCAAGTTTCAAAAAATGTGGTTCAGAAGGGCGGATTTTCTGGATGTAGTTACGGATAATTGGAATCTTCCACATGATGCTCGGGGTATGATTGGTTTCTCTTTGAAGCTTAGAAGGCTTAAGCAAAGGCTCAAAGAGTGGAATAAAGAAAACTTTGGTGATATTGAAATAAACATAAACATGATGGTATGATTGGAGAAAAATAACAAAAGTCCACAAAAATAATTCCACAAATATTGTTATATTTGGTGACATTATTTATTTATTTATTTTGGCGAGGATACTTGAATAGTTGAATCAATAAGAATTATTTACAATCACTTTTTTTGTTGGAAGGTAGTTCTATTTTATTATTATCTAAGGATTCATTTCATTAGATCCGCTATATTTATTATGCTGCCATACATAAATGATTAAATTTTGCTTGTAAATAATTTAACATATTTGGTATCATTAAAAAATACATGTGTTCATTTTAACACCCATAAAAATAAATCTACAGTTCATCGTCATATTCAAAATCGATTAATGTGTAAACATACAAATATAATTCTTCACTTTGCCAAATTGTATAATCAAAATAATTCTTCACTTAAAACCGCGGTAATATGGGTGGCGGCGGTGACGACGACAGAGGGCAAGATAGTAGCAGCGGTGCCAGCGGCAGAGGGCATCACGATAGTGGAATGGCGGAGGAGATGGCGATAGCGGGGTGACGTAAGAGGCATAGAAGAGAATTTGAAAGGCAGAAGAAAAAGATCTGCTTTGGTGAATGATTTTACATTCATCTTATTTATAGAGGAAGATATGCATATAATTAATTAATTTAATATTTTATATGTCATTATTATCATATTTGATTTGAAAGATTAAATGAATCGTATTAGAGAAGATTAGAGATTTGGAAGATTTGATTTTGATATGTATTTTTAAAATTTAAATATTTTTTATTTTAAAATGTATTAGAGAAGATAATGATCATGTTATTTATTTTTTCAGAAATAAATAAGGTAAAATATTAAAATAATAAAATTCAGATTAACATATTTACTAAATTATTTTAACCATTTAATGAAAGTGAATTATGGAGACAACATGTGTCCCTAAAAGCTAGTGTGCTCTAACTATTCTCAATTCATTCTTAAGTTCCACTCTCTTTTAATATATATATGTGTGTGTGTGTGTGTGTGTGTGTGTATACATAGGATATGTGATTAGAAGTCAGTAGAAATGTACTTTACCAAAAATTTACAATAATATTTGTCCAATACTAACCTTCTTAAAGTCCTGTACAATGAATAATAAAGAATCTGATAAAAGTCCCAATAAATTTTACTCGGTTAAAATTCCTTGGTGTTAGGTTGACGTTAAAACAAAACGATCATTTTAGTTTCGGATAAATTTTTTTTTTTTTGAGTAAATATTCAGTGCACCCGCTGTACCACGTCAGCATACGGTACATATAGTTTTGGGGGGGTTCATAATTTTAGTGGGAGTAAATAAACATTCATGTGTGGACAAAAACAATGGTTACCTATTTTTTTTTTATATTATGATTGGGTTGTTGTACTAAAAAAAAGGCAGAAACAACTGTATAAAATATTTTATGGGTACATTCCCGGGACATAAATTAACTTAAATTATAATCCATATTAAGGTTATAGATTATAGCATTTATCAAGATTGAGTTGATTTTTCACCTTAAAAGAACAGCCAGAAAAGAAAACATAAATATCAATGATTTTGCCTCTTGAACAATTCACCCTACTCTGCCATATAAAATAAATTGAAACATTGAATAGAACAGGTGATATCACTAAAAAAAAAATTTCTTTTTCTTTTTTACTCCCTCATACATAGCGAATTTCAGATCCTACGAAGTACTAACAACGAAAGGATCGATTCATTTTCAGGTAGAAACTACAAATTAGTTAGCAAATGGGATTTAATTTAGTTATTTAGATTTTTTTTTTCTTGGTTACTAATTTTGTTCTTTGATATCTGGTTCATTTCAGATTCGTCAAAAACCATGGCTAAGAGGAAAAGGAAAAACGGATCAAAGGTGGAGAAATCCAGAACACGAAAGAAGCCTCTTGCTTTTTTCAAACCATTTATTCTTGAGACTTGCTCGAGTAGATTGGTAAGTAGTTTTGATTTTTTACTATCTTCTTGTTGATGTAATTATTTAGGTTTTCCATAGATTTTATTTTTCTTTCTTTTTTTCTTTTTGTTTTTCCGGTTAGTCTTTCTATTGAGAAGCCCCAAACTCTGATCTAGATTTTTCTTCTTCCTTTTCTTTTAAAATTTAGAATAAGCCTGTGAAATTAAAGCCTTATAAAAGCCAAGATCTGGAAACTTATATATCACTTGTCTAATTTAACTTTTTTTTCGCCCTCTCTAATATATAATTAATCGAGCGGCCTTGATTGAATTAATTCAAATCTGAATTTTATTTTTTTAAAAAAAAATTGATGTGAAATCACAGCCAAACTTTTATTCTTTTTACACTGTATATATGTTTAAATTGAGAGTTATATTTTAAACTATTCAAACAGTAAATGTGTCAGCTATGTTCAGCCCTGTTTTCTCAGTTTATGAAATTTTCTCTCTAAAGAAAGGTACTTATAAATGGAAAGTCTGATAATTACAAGATTTTCTTCCTAGTTTATCAGTATGTCAAAATATTCAAGATATATAATATACTACTATATTTGAATTAATTACTAGAAAAATTCAGAACATTACTATCTATATTCATTCAAAACTATAAGTGGAAACATCTTTAAGTCCCCCATAAAGATCGATTTGTTTGTTATCTATAAAATTGTTCCTTTTTATCATTAAAAAATCCACATACTGAAGATGTGTGAAACCCTTGGGTCATTCTGTATTGATTTAACATATATATAGTGTACATGATTACAGTAGGATTACAACAATACCCCAACACTAACCCTAATATATACATACTCTAACACATACAAGTCACGTACGTGAACTTTTCTATCTCCTTGATGTTTAATTTTTTCATTTGGTATATGTAAAAATATCATGTGGCACATTAACCTTCAAAAATACCATCAATTAAAACATATTTTCCAAGTTGGTTAAGCAAAATAAAACGTGGTGTTGTTGATATTCTTTCATTTCGCTTTATTATGCAAATTAGTGAACTAATTATAAGTCGGAAATTTGATAATTGACCGCCGTGGCAGATGCTTCCTTTGGCTTGGACGGAGATCATGGCAGGAAAGCTACCAAGCAAAGCATTTCTGAGGGATCACTATGGGAACATATGGCCTGTGGAGATTGGCAATATTGACAACAAAACTTATTTCCTTGAGGGGTGGACAAGGTTCATCAAACAAAACCACATGGAACACGGAGACTTCTTCATTTTTCAGTATGATGGAATCCATGTTTTCAATGTGAAGTTATTTGGAACCGATTCGTGTGGTAAAAGAGGAGTTGGAAGTCTAGTCCATAAATTAAAGAAAGAGGCTGAAGCAGATCAAGAAAATGACCTAGAAGTTCATCAAAGTTACATCAGTGAAGAAGATGATAAAAATGAACCAAAAAAGGACAGAGAAGAAAATTATGGGATGGAAACAGTAGATGTCAAGCAAATGAATTCAAGTCAGTCATCTGATACCAACAATGGCTCAGAAAATGTAACTGGTGAGACTAAACGATCTTCCATGATATGCCATTACTATGTTCCAGAAATAACTATTTTTCTGAGACCGGAGGCACTTACTTTTTCAATATTGTCTACAATTCTATTAATGTGACGGGAGATTCACTTCCTCATTTATTATTAATTAATTGGATTTTTTTTTAATTCAGTTGGGAACGAAGGAGCCGAAGAAAGTCATCAATCTAAGAGGAAGAAATCCGTGGATCCTCATGGCTACAAAATTTTCAAATCTGGAATTGTTCCGCGACCTCAAAATCCATATTTCATCGCAGAAATAAAGAAGAAGAGGCAAGATGAGCTGGTACGTGTTCTAATCAGCTCTTAATTTTTATCCTGGCAGTAAAGATAGTAATGTTACAATTTGGAAATCACTTGAATTGTTATAACAATCACTCCATTATACTCTCTTTGGTTCTTATTATAGGGTATTTTGATTTTTCTTATGTTTCATCTAGTATGTTTTTTCAATTGAGAAAAAAATTTAAAAATAATTCTTAATAATTAGGAGAACAAAATAAATGTGAAAAAATATTTTTAAGTTTTCCCTTCAATTTAAAAAAAAAAACATATTAGATGAAATTTAAGACAAATTAAAATATCTTATAATAAGGACTCCAGGATAACTATACCTGGCGTTCTCATTAAAAATTGAAAACTATCTCCAAGAGTTCAATTTTAACATATTTTCTTTAAAAATTGCTTGTCAATGTCTAAAACTCGCTTCCCATATACTTCTTCCATCCCAGAAAAATAGTCCAGTTTGAAAATGTACAACTTTTTTAATTTGGTCAGAACACCAAATGTACAACTCATTTTATGCCCCTAACTTCCACTAATGCCCCTTCTAGTTATTTCTATAAAAGTTAACTACATATGCATTTATTTTACAACTTAAATTTGATCAAAATTTTTATTTCAAAAAATATTGACAATGGATCTTAATGGAAAAATCTCGTTATATAGATTAATTTGATATATAACACAATTTTAGTTATTCATGTTTTAAAAGATATAATCATTTGAAAAAATAGGATAAAACTAAAAAAAATAAAAATCAAAAGAAGTGGATTTTGTTTCCTTACTACTACTCTTTTGGATATTTCAGTCATTTTAATTTAATTAATTTTGACTTTTGTAAAACTGGACTATTTTTTGGGACAAATTTTTTTATTAAACAGGACTATTTTTGTGGAAGGGGGGAGTATATATTATTGTCAAAAATCATAATAATAAAAATAAGTTTTAATAGCTTTGTGAATAATTTTGTGTTTTCTTGCAGTTCGTCCCAACTGAAACTATCAAAGCCTACAAACTTAAACTCCCAGCCGAGACCTTCTTGCGTGACCCTCGGGGGAGAGCGTGGAATTCGACTCTTGTTGTTTGGAAAGATGGTCGTTCATGGTACCTTGGTGGATGGAGACAACTTTGCAAAGCCAATCTTATTGGTGCCAATGAATTATGCATTTGTGAATTTGTAAAATGTAAAAAAAGAGGTATCTGTATACAGGTGCATCTTCTTCCCCCTCAAGTATATGAATCAGCGAGTAACTAATGTTTCCCTGAATGTTATAAATCTATATTATAGTTGATGATTGAACTGTATTGTTTTGTTTTAAAAAGAAATTTCATTGACAAAGATAAGTAACTTTTAAACTCATATGTGGTGTTGCTTTATCTTTAATTGTACTCCCTCCGGTTCTTAATATAAGTCATTTTGATTTGTCTTGGGTTTCACCTAATACGCATAATTAAGGTTTTTTGTCAATTAAAAATGCATAGTGGGTGAAGCCTAGGAAAAAACGGTGTTTAAAACTTTCAATTATAGAATGGGTCTCTTTCTAATGAATACAATTACAAAAGATGTGAGTTGAACTTTTTATGTCTGAAACAAAGTTCTTAGGATCGGGTCCCTAAAAGTCTAAAACCGATTTATCTATAGGTTAAGAGATTGAATGTTTGGATATTGTAATAATAAACCCTTTAGCGCATATGTGAGCAAAATGTTGTTCAAAGATTTATTACATATGCAATCCACTACATAACAAGTATTCTTGCAATACTAGTAAAGTGATATCAATTGTGTAAGAACTGTAAAGCTATTTGTTCTGGTAAAATATTGATTGTACTGTAATTTTGAAGGACTTTTTGTTTTTATTATTCTTTTCGTCCTAAAATAATTGCCATATTTATTTTATCAGTTTAATGCGAGCAAAAAAAACAATTATTTTGAGATTGATTGAGTGTTTTACCGTCAATATATGGCTCCCGAAATATGTCGAGAGGTAAATAAACAAAAAGTAACCTTGTTCTTCAATTTAAACTTAGATTAGAGAAAATGGAATGAGTTGTTAAAGCTATGGGTTCTAGATAGTAGTAGGCTTCATAATCAACTACTAAGCCCATTTCCAAGTTCGAATTGGGTTCCAAGTGTAACTACTGTCACTACAAGAAAATATCTATATGATGGCACTTTATGATGTTTTTATAAGTAGTCTATGGTGACATTAAATTTATAATGGCATTGATCAAAAGTGTGGTATATACCAATGTCTTAATAGTATTAATGAAGTTTTAAGGCACTTATAAATGTCATGATATGTGGTCTCCTTTTTTACTATAGATAGATGTATTTACTATCTTGTGTCAAGATAGCTTTTTTACCTTTTACTATTTCTAACGTCATGTGTCAATTTTATTTTTTTTTGGTTTTTAATTAATCAATTCTTTGTGTATACATTTGTTTTTCTTTTTTCATGTTCTGGTTACTTAAAAAAAAAACATTTAACTTTTTAAACAACCAATCAAAAGTTAAAAACTTCATTAAAAAAGAAAAACCATTCAATAATATATCATGTGCATATGTAATTGTCATTACAACGTACAAATGGCAGGGAAATAACTTTCAGCCTATCGTATCTTCATATCTTAATTATTCCTATAAATCTCTATAAACTCCCAGTAGTCAATCTCTTCCTTCTGGGAGGTAAGAAAGGTTTCGCGATAAGTGCGATGGACATTGGTCTCCAAAATAAAACAAATATGATGACAAAAATTAGTGTCAAATCATAAAAACTAAAAATATTGAAAAATTAACAGAATGAAAATATGGAATGAGACCATATGTAGTAGAGGTCACCATGCTTACCTTTGAATTTAAGAAACTTTCTCTGTTATGGGACTAGAAAATGTGGACTGCTAGCTCAAAAGGCTTGCAGAAAGCTCTGATAAGTAAATAAACAAGTAATACCTAAAAATAATTGAACACTATTTTTCAAAAATAAAAGAGTATTGTCATACAGAACTAGAAATATCTTGAGATACCTTTACAATACTCGAGTCTAAAAAGTTTGTCGATTAGGATCATGCCCACAAGTATTGTCTTTGTACCCAGAATTATATTGATAGATGTTAGACGATCCACTATACTGGCAAAATCACTTAAAACACAAGTAAAACAAGAAACAATATCGAATTCATAATGCCAATAACATCAATTTCTTATGTCAAATAATTCTTCTATTTTACTCCTAGTTAAAACGGCATATACCGAACCTGATCAATAGTGTTTTCGGCTCTAAATCAATAGAAATAATACCATACATATAATAACATTTCAATGACTTACATGTGTCATCTTCTTGTCTTTAACAGAGATATCACCAAACAGTTTCAAAGAAACTGCTAAAGCTTACTTATGTCACACTAATACAAACGAAAAAAAGTCTCATATGCATCGATGACAAATAACTAACAAACTTTACTTTTTAATTGAACCAATTAATACTATGAGATACATTAACTCTAGATATGGAGGAATTGAACTGGTCGATGATACTTCTTATAGAATCAATAACTCAAATACGATGGTGATTTTTTTTTTTGATGCATTTAATTTATTAAACTACCAATAGAGATAAAACGTTTGATATAAAGTGCCAAGACAAATGATGGAATTGAGAGAACTTAATTACCTCCAAAACTGGTTTAACAAATCAAGTTGCTAGAGTCCCAAACACGCTGCTCTTAATTCCATTAGCTCTGGGCGAAGATGGAGACAAAGAGCAAGAATATGCATCTAGGAAGCTAAGTGCTTGAAATGGACATAGTTTTTTAGCACTTAAGGGTTTTTTTTTTCCCCAAAAAACAAATTGTTGGTTTTAATTGATTAGTGCGTGCCTGAGTGTGAAAAGTGGTTAGAGGTTATCAAAGAAAGTGGGATTGGGGGGAAGGCTCGGTGTTTGATTTTTTTTATTGTTTTCTTTTTTATACATTAATTTTAATTTTGTTTCTTTTTGTTAAACTGAGAGGAGAAAATTCTTTTGGCGTTAATTTTAATTTTTCTCTTTAATGCCTTCATAAGTGTGTCATTAAAGATTAGACCCAATAATAAAAAGTCTAAATGTCTTGTTTGGCCATATATAAGGGCACTTAATAACTAATGCCTTGATATCTTCTATTTATTAAGGCATTTCACTAACAATGTCTTAATATGCATGTCACAAGAAGTCTATTTTCTTGTATTGTGTAGTAGTAGTGTTATGAACTGATGGGTAGAAATAAAATTAGAGAATATTACAAGGGCTTAGAGTGCAATTTTGTAATAGTAGTAACTGGCAGCCTGGTTAAAAGTGGCGTTCTCAATCTGTAAACGTCGTTGAAGAATTTGAATGAAATTTTAGTTTTATTTTTATTTTCATTTTTATCTTTTTCCGATATCGATCCTCGCCGGATCTAACAACTTGGTATCAGAGCCGAGCAATCCTCGGCCTGAATCACAGCCAAGCAGCCCTTGGCTGTAAAATCCTCAATTCAAATTGTCGCTGGTCAGTCGCCGGCCGGAATCAATGGCGTATATTGGTGGCGAAGTCGGCGTCATTTCAGCAGTGGAGTCACCGGAAATTGTTGTTTCTTTTGCCGACGGTGATATGAGAGTTCCACGGGATTTTGGCGGAGAACGGGATGTTGTTGAGTGGCTGCAATATTTTGATTCCTTCGGCTCACGTTTTCCGATTCCGGAATTAGAGAGATTCGGCTGTGTGCAGCAATCACTGATTGGGGTTGCTCAAGATTGGTACCAAATTCTCATGGCCGGGAATGAACAGTTGTCTTGGAGTGGTTTCTCTGAGAAGTTCATTCGTCGTTTTGGTGGTGAAGGATCGAAAGAGCACAAGTTTGCATTGGAAACCGATGTCAGTTCAACAACGATTATGTATTCATCACTAGAAAAAGGTAACACCCTTATTTTGCAAGATTCGGATGAAGCCTTCATTTCCGATGTTGTTAAGACTGGTGATGATTGTGTGATTCTGGATATGACTAAGAATGGTGATGGGATTTAACCGTGTTGATTGATATTGATTATGCTAAATTGAATGATGGCTCTGTTTCTTCCAAAGGGGCATGCCATGAATTTTTTACTGTTGATGATAATTTTCTAATCGATGAGTTTATATTTACTGGTTATGATATAAACAATGCTCCCTTAGACTCTTTGGTTCATGATTCTGAAAAATTGACTGGTGCTAGTGCTACTTTGATTAGTGCAACTGTTAATTCTGGTGATGAAGAGGATGATTATGTCTTCTATAACTTGAATGATGAAATTTTAACTCCAATTGATAAGTATTTGGACGTTGCCTTTGAGTCTTTGAAAGGGTAAATGATGATGACTCTCTCATTTATAATGCTTCATCAGTGACTGGGGAGGGTGAAATGGTTTGTTTTGATGATGAGTTTGCTTGTGCTAAATTTGAGATAATGATATAGTTCTAACTGAGATTGACTTAGATTGTGCCATTAAGATTGAGGGTTGTGGTGTTGACTGTTTGGATATTGATGAAAATGCTATATGCTGCTGTTCATGATCCCTTGTTGAAAAAAAAAAGTGAAAATTTTATGATGTTGACTGATGAAATTTCAACTCCATTTGATGAGTATCTAGACGTTAACTCTCAGTATTCAAAAGGGGTAAATAAGGATGATAGATTGCCTGAAAATTTTGATGGAAGTTATATGATGTGGAATGATGAATTTGATGAGTCTGAGTGTTTGAATGAAGACCATTATTCAGTGATTATAGGCATCGGGAACGAACATAGTTTGATCAACAAAAGAAGCCATATGACTTTATTTGCTAATGAGCCAAGTAAAATGGGAAATCATGTCATTGTTGATAAAGATAGTGAACTTGTATCAGTTAAATGTGAGGACAACCATGGTGGAAATGGTTTCATAAACAGGGGGAACCTTCTAAGTTCATTTCTTGTTGATCCAGGGGGACTTAGAGATTATATTGTTGTTGGTGACCTCTTGGGTGTTGATTTGGAGCTGTGTGTTAAGTTTGTTTATTCATATACACATTTGAATGAGGCTAATGAGCTTAGAAGGATTGTGGATGAGTTCATTGGGTGTGCAATGATAATGATGTCTCATTGGGAATTTTGATTGATGGTTTTGTTAAAATGAATGCTACTGGTGTAATATGGATGAATGAACTTGTGGATAGAGAACTTCTGTTTGTGAAGTTATTTGCAATTGAACCAGGAGGAAATCATTTTGCTAATAATTTGGTGAATGATCTAATTGAGCGTAATGATGGTTTTGGTGTTATTTCTCTTGAATTTTTGGGTGATGAAATTGTGCATATAGCTGCAGTTTGTGAAACTTGGATGAAGGAATCTGTTAAGGATTATAATGGGACTGAGAATAAGTGGTTCTTTGGAGATTATTGTGTGATCAGATTTCCAGCATTTGGGATTTTGGGATGAGGTTTATTCAAGCTGTTAGATCTCTTAAATCATGGGTGAATGGGGTGACCGCATTTAAAGGGGGCAGTGTTGAGTTTATTAATGATAAAGAGTTTCTTATGTTTATCCCATAGGATGAAAATGTTTTTTGTTTAAAAACTAATCTTAGTTCATACTCTAAGATACCAGAAAATGAGGTAGAAATGGTGGTGGTGTTCGGCACCTCTCAGTTGAAATGGGAGGTATCTGCGGGAGTTTTTGAAGAAGTGGTCAGGAAATTGTCTACTAAGTGTACTACCTTTGACAAGCTCTGTATAAGATATTCCCAGGGAATCGTATTGGAGCTGATTATTTTTCTACGTGTGAGCTATTCTGTGGAAAGCACTTTTGGGGTTTTAATTTCAAGAGTGTTTTAAGACCGAAAGTTGAAGATTGTGGACAACCTCCTTGCTTCTCGAAAATGCTAACGACGATACTTTCTTGGATAGTTCTTGAAAAATTAGAAGTATAGGTGATGGTTTTGAATATCATTCTATGGATTCGTTTATCTGGTGCATTGCTCTGGGGTCAATACCGCAACTTTACTTGTACCACATGTGTCACAGTCCTGAGTTATCACATGTTAGAATGCTTTACTCAAGGTCCATGGATAGCAATTTTCTATTTTCTCCTATTCCTTGAGGACAAGGATACTTTTAAGGGGACGGGAGTTGTGTATTCTCATCATGCTTTGTGTGATAATGGTTTGGTTGCAATGACCATTCCTGAAATGTTATTTAAGTATGGTGAATGTGATTCGGAAAAAATTAGAATCAGTCACATCAACAAGAGGAACAACTCATTGATTTGAGGATCACTTGTTTTAAGGTTGGTATTGCTTCAGCAGAACTTAACAAACTTCAGTTTCAAGTACCACCTCTGAGTCACAGTGATCAATTAAAACTTGGAGTTGGTGGGGATTTATGTCATAATTCTGGAAAGGGGCCTGTTCTTGATAATCTTTGTTGATGCAATATATTCCAATCTGAGATTTGTTTGTCCTCTTTGTGCGAGAAGTCTTTATCGAGATATATTTGTTGTTCTGAAAACTTGAAGGAAGTAACGTCGATGTGGAATACTGAAGTTCTTTATGGGTGTCCTAACCTTGAGACATTGATTATCTAAAGAAGGGAGTTGTTAATTTCAGTCATTTCTGGAAGTTTGCCACTAACCTAAATGCATGTGTTCTGACCTTTGGAAGTTTGGTTAACCATGTGATCTCATTCCATGATATCAATTCCAGTGATTTAGAAATGTGGATTGATAATAATATTTTCAAATCATGGATTGTTGAGGAGGCATGTTCTAGGAAAGGCACAAAGGTTAGAGGAAAATTGATTCCCGTTCCTCTTTGCATAATGAAGATGTTAACTATGGCATATTAGTTGAACTCACAACTACTATTCCCAGGTATGTACATTAACATTGATGTTGATCCGAATTGTACGATACTACATGGGATTCAAGGATCAAATATTGACATTCCACTTGTAAGTTGGAGAAACTTTAGATTTGGTTCCAAGGAAGTGAAGAGGGAGGACTATTTCGGTATCATTGGTTCCTATATCACTATGTTTTAAATACTGAGAATTAGAATGTTACTGTGCACCTATTGCATCTTACTGCTTGTTCATGGGGGTTACATCTTAGCATATTCAGCCACATTCAAGTGCAGGGACTTCGAAGGCTATGGAACAAGATGGCAAAAATATGCAAGGATGGCATCAGGTTTTCAGGATGACTGGTACATTTGCTTTTCAATGTCTCCGTCCTATGGAGAAAACATCAAGAGTTTTCTTCCCATCAACGTTTGAGTTTGGTAGCAACTTTTTCTCTTCAAACGTTACTAAACCGAAATGCAGTGATGGACTTCTTCTATTTGGTTCTGGCAAGTGAAGCTGTTTTGAGAATCATTTGTGCTTATTCATTTTCTATCATTCAAGTCTTGAGGACAAGACTTAGTTTAGCGGGAAGGATTTATCATGAACTAATGGGTAGAAATAAAATTAGGGAAAAATACAAGGGCTTAGAGTGTAATTTTGTAATAGTAGTAACTGGCAGCCTGGTTAAAAGTGACGTTCTCAATCTGTAAACGTCGTTGAAGAATTTAAATGAAATTTTAGTTTTATTTTTATTTTCATTTTTATCCTTTTCCGATGTCAATCCTCACCGGATCTGACATAGGGCTTACAACCAACCTTTAGCCCACTAGAAAATTAAGTCAGTGAAGACTGTATTGAGAAAAAGGATGATTTTCTATCAAAACTTTAATTTCCACATCAGAACTTAATTAATCTTACAAAAGAATTGTTTAAAAAAAGCTGAAAAGTATGGACATTACATCTAATTTTTTTTATGATCCAGTTGATCTAGAAATTCAGCATATCATAAAAGCTTTTTATTGATTTTCTTTGGTAAAACAAATGAAACAAAAATCTAATACATCAAATTATATCATTGGTAAAATATTCAAGTATTATACTTTTAACTATGATATAACTATTTTTATAAAAAAAGTCACACAATCTCATAGAACACGCTAAGTTCTGAATCAAAGCCACCAGTGGTGCCAAATATCACAACATTTAACTCTCAGAAGCAGTGGCGGAGCCAGTGGGTGGCCAGCTGTTGCGGTGGCACCCCTTCCGATTTTAATTTTTTACTAATTTTAATATAATTATTAAGAAAAACTTATAACAGATTCATTTTCGCACCCCCTTTAAAAATTTATGTACAAAAATTTGAAACATTATATATTTTTGTATGCTCAATATATGTAAATCTTAACTTAAAAAATATGATATGTATCAAACTTTCTTTTCAAAAAAATTAAGTTGAAACAATAAGAAACAACACATTTTGATGTTAATTCAAGTTAATCATATTGTTTTCTTCTTGTAGTATTTTTAATGTGGTAGAACGAACTATGCATAAAATCAATCAATTAACGTTTGTTTCTACTCACTGAATCATATAAAATGTATGTTGAAATAAAATTGAACCTCAAAATATATAATTTCAAGTTGCAAAAAAATACAAGAGATATTTATGAAGTGTTTCTAAAAATTTGTAATGTATTTTTGGAAGGAAAAGATAAATATATTTTGTTTTTTTAAGACTAAATTTTTTTCTGTATTTAAAACCCTTGCTCCATTTTATCTCATTTCACACCCCCTAGTCCAAAATCCTAGCTCCGCCACTGCTCAGAAGTAGGATTTTACTGCCAAAATTCTGTATCTTCTGTTTAAGAACTCATGTTAGTAATTTCTCAATCTCTGAAAATCATTTTTACTATATTGATTCAAACTATACGTGTATGTAAAATAATACGGATATTTACAGGCTTATTATTATTTAGTATCTAATGTTGAGTTAATCATGACATATCACATGCTTAAACACTTCAATTAGATCATCTACAATAATTGTGGCAGGGAGTAGACAGAGTGTTTGGAATCAAACTCCACATGTTTAAGCCACTTCCAAGTATATTCAATTCGGGACAATGCACAAATGATATTCCACTCAAAAGCTATACGTAATATCAGATTCTCTGCATGATTAAGAGACCGAACAAAACTTCAAAAAAACATCTTCTACGTACATAGAGAGTATGTTTGGATATTTTGAGTCTACGTGTTACATTTGCCAAAAATCTCAACAATTTGATACCGAATTAGAATTTGTTGTTTCTTCTTGGACAATTTGTTAAATACTCTCATCTTCGACAAAGTATAAAATAAAATAAAAATGGAAAAAAAGAAAGAAGACCAGATCTTGGATTTCCATTGTGAATACCAGTGATATGTTTATCTCGAAAAGCATTGTTTTGTGTTCATTTGGAGACATATGAGAAAATTATTATGATAGGAGGTGCATGTCGCACATACATATTTCTTAGAAATATAATAGTAAGAAAATTTCCACACTTTTTATATTTCACGTCTCAAAATATTATTTTAATCCTATCAAGTGAATTATTATTAGACGATGGTGAGAACAATAATTTCCTTAATCTGATGATGACTTCAATATTAGGATGTTATTCCCCAGCCTCGGCCGGATATTATATAACTACGTACGTGTAAATATTTCATATATGTGTTTTGATGTATCTGATTGTAAAGTTCAAAAATAACATTTATTTTAGTAGCTTCTTACATATGTTTGTCGTCTTGAGAGGGAGGGGGGGTGTGAAATCGAAAATCTCCTTTTTAAATGTATCAAATTACATCATTTAATGCATAGAAGATGGATGCATAAATCTGCAAAAGTTGGGAGTTTAGGCTAAAACGTGGATTTCCCCAGGTATTGGAATTATATATACTGTATTTTTTTAATCTCAATATCCGATACATACTACTACCTCTATTATTTACTTTTATATGTGGCTTTAGGGTTTGCATCTATTCCTGAAATTTAAATTTTTAAGTGTATTTTTTTCTAGTCCCTAAATAAAAATATTGGAACTATACAAAAATTTGAAATTAAAATGAAAAAAATAGGTAGTTTTCACTATTATATGCTATTAAAAGTAGAGAGAAACAAAGGTAAAATTGAAAAAACTGTTTTTAATGCTGCTGCATCAGAAATAAAGTGCGACAGATTAAAAAAAAAATAAATTCACCTAAAGTGACATATAAAAATAAATAAAGATAGTATTTAATCTCGGTGTCAAAATATACCGTATTTTTTAAAACACAATATTCCGTGCATACTATTTAATTTCGATCTTAAATTTAACTCTATCAATAAAATCTTTAAGGTGTAAAATATAACCTTGGGCCGGCCTGTATGGAGCACAAAATAATTTCATGTATCTCTTAAGCTTAAATCTCAAGGCAAAAAGTTTATATCTATAAAACTTTTTAATTCATATTTTAGATCTTGTTTCAAAATTTATTTTACATAATTTTCAACTACTACCGTCGGACCATTTCCCAGTAAAAATAGAACACTGTTGGCCGGCCAATCATCATCAA